ACCGGGCCAGCGCCCCCAGACTGTTGCTGGCCCAGTTTCAGGAAGTCGTGAAGCTGAGTGGTGCCTGGCATTTCAGGAACGGGGGCAGCCAAGAGGCCCAGCCGTGCAGTGCAGAAACACGAGCACGTCTGTCACACCAGGAAGCACCCTCCCCGGCCAAGAAAGGCTTCCAGGGCCGGGTTGGGCAGACGCCAGCACAGGGCCCTGCTCAGCCCGGCAGGAGCCGAGCTCCTCGGCTGCCTGATCTCCCTGCCCTGCGCACACCCTTCACACGGGCCTCCAGGGCCTCCCCTGCAGCAATGACCTGCAAGCGCCACGACCCACCCAGTTCCCACGCACTGGACGGGTGTGTTCCCTGGCTGGTCCTCTCCCACCACCACAGGGGCTTCTCTTCCGACCAAAGCCTGGGAGTTCCGGGGGACGTGGAGCAGCTGCCCCTGCACTGGCCACAGGAGTTTTCTGGGACGGGGCTCCGCAGGCTCTGGGATAAAAAGCCCGCGGCGCCCGCCTTGCCGGTGCTGGAAAATCCATGCCGCTTTCTGCCCGCGCCCCGTCGCCTGTCTCCTGGGCCTTGCCAGCGAGCCAGGCTTTGGGCTCCTCGCCTAGGCCTCGATTCCGCCTCTGACCTGCGTAACGGATGTGGCCGGCTCACACTGCTCGAGCACCTGCCTGTTTCGTTCCCTTCCGCCCGCCATCTGCATCAGCCAAACCATGAAAGAGAAGCTTCCCCGCCCGCGTCTCCCTGCTTTCGGCCTGCCCTAGAATGCCCTTCTCCAAGGGGTCTGCTTTCGGCCTGCCCTTCTCCAAGGGGTCCTGCCTCCGTTCTGCCATCCCTGGAGGCGCCCCCCGCCTCGGCCTGCTCCGGCTTGGGAGCGGGGCCCCACCACCCACCCCGGGCCTTGGCGACGGCGGCGATTCTCACAGCACCAGACAACCCGCCCGCAACCACCTTGGCCTGGGCCGGCCTCAGACCTAGCCTGCGCGACCAGGGGTGAGGGATCATGGGACTTGTAGGCCAAAACATTTGGAAAGCCCAGGTTCCCCTGTGCCAACGCGGCACCCTCTGCCTGGATTACAACTCCGTTCAGCTAATGGGCGCTGCGGTCCAGACGCGTCCGGGGAGGGTGCCTGGCGGGGGGGGGGGGCTGGTGAGAGGTCCGGCTCAGGAAACCGCACTGCGCAAGACGCCGAGCAACGAGAAGCGCCCCTGCGCCCCGCCCCCCCGCCCAAAAATAACTGTCCGGGCCGCCGCTCGCCTCCCGGGCGCTGCTGCAGCTGCAGCCGCAGCGGCTCCGAGCGCGCCGCCCCTCCCCCCCCCCGCTGCGCGCGTTGCGGCAGGCGCGCTTCCCCCCGCGCGCTTCCTGCCCTGCGCCCCGGGCCTGCCATTGGCTGCGCGCCGCGGCTCTGTTATTTTTCGAATATCATCAGTGCGGGGCAGGAGCGCTGGCGGAGCGGCGCGGCGGGGCGGAGGGAGCCGCGTCCCAGCGGGGCGGAGCCGCGCTCGCGGGCCGGCCCTCCCGCTTCAAAATCCGCGCGCCCGTGCCGCGCATCTCTCCCTGGCGCCCGGCCGCGGCCCCCTCTCCGCGCAGGCTCTCCCGCCCGCCCGGCCCGAGGCCTCCGATCGGCTCGCAGCCCCCGCGCCCAGCGCCGCACGGCCTTCGCCTTGCCTTCCCCAGCGTGGCGGCTCCAGCCTCCGCGGGCGCGAGCGTGCCCGGCGTGTGAATGCTTTTGAGCGGCGTCGGAGAGCGGCTTCCGTGCAGCGGGGGCGCCGCCGCCCGGCCCTGCTCGCGCCCTCCGCGGCAGCCGCCGCCGCCGCCGCCCGTGGCCCGGCTCGGTGCTGCGCGTACTCCGGGCCGCCCGGCTCCCCGCCGCCCTCCATGGAGCCCGAGGCGCCCCATGCCGACTCGCCGCGCCCGTCCCGCGAAGCCGGCGGGCCCAGGGGCCAGCTGCCCTGGCCGCCTTGCAGCCTGCGCGCCGGGACGAGGCCGCTTTTCCCCGCCGAAGCCGCCGCCGGGATGTCGCCCGTGACCACGCTGGCCCGGGACATGACCAAGCTGACCGGCCTGGGGAGGTGAGAGCGGGCGGCCGCATGGAGGTGCTCGCCCCGCGAGCGTGCGCGCTGGCCTCGGGGGCTGGGGGGCGTCTCGTGCGAACCCGCGGCTGGGAGAGGCGGCTGGAACATGCGGGGGCGCGCCTCCGCCGGGGTGGGGGAAGGGTCGCCTTCTCCAGGTGTGCCTTTTGCAGGCGCGCTTCTCCCGCAAGCAGCCTGGCCGTGGGGGGCGCGTGCACGCATCTGGACCGTCTCCCTCCCCCCCCGGCCGGGGCAAGCTGCGGAGGGGCGCCCCTGCGCCTCGGCGGTCGGGGTGCGTGGTGCGTGCGCGGGCAGGAGCCGAACAAAGGGGCGGCCGCCGGCCTGCCTGCCTTTCCCGGGCGCAGGCGCCGCGGCGCGCTGTCAGTGGCTGCCGCGGGAAAGGCGCAGAGGCCGCGCTTGGCGCGGTCGGCCGGCAGCGCGCGCTGGCGCCAGGGCGCCGCGCCTTCCCCGGCGGAGACGTGCGGCGAGCGGCCCCCCCCCCCCTTGCCCGCTGGCGTGCGCGGGACGGTCCCCCGGGCGAGAGCCCCGGCCCTCCCGCCCTGGCCGGGGAGCAAGGCCTGCAGCGCTGCCCGGGCGCCGGGTGGGCCGCAGCTCCCGTGCTCCGCACCCACCCGGGGCCCTGGGGCTGCTTGGGACTGGGGCCCCCGTCGTTCCGACCGTGCGCCACGCTGGCGGGAGGGCCCGGGAGCTGACGGCTGGAGGGCGCCGGCCCGGGGAAGGCCGCTGCGCGGCCGGGTCGGGGTGCGATCCCGAGCATGTTGCGACGGAGGAAGCCCTGCGGCCCGCGGGCTCCCCAGGCAGTGGAGGGCGCTGCGGGACAGCCTGCGCCGTGCACGTTGCCTGCCGGCCGTTCACTCCTGGCAGCTGCGCGCCACCCTAGCTGGGCTTGGGTGAGCCCGAGCGACTGGGCCAACACGCTCCAACCCCTCCTCCGCACTGCCTTTCCCGGGACTGTGCCTGAATTGCGGAGACCCAGCACTTACTGGGCGTCAGTAGGAACAGCCACCGTGAATGGGGTCATTCAGACAACCGTCCCTTGCAGTCAAGCGGCCTCAGCGGGCCTTGCATTAATCGCAGCAAGCGGGGTGCTTGATTCCTCGATTGATTCCTTGATTCTTGCACACTCGAATCAGATTGCAGCCAGTGGCACGTGCGTGCGTGCCAGAGTCAGAAGCTGCTGCCTCACTGAGGCCACCCCTGCCCAGCCGGTGGGGCTTGCTGTGGCCCCGGGTGGGTCTTTTCCCTTCACGCCGACCGTCCAGGCCCCTGGGCAGCCCCTGCTTTTATGGGAGGCCTGTCAGGGAGTCTTTCTGCCCCAGGGTTGGGGTGTGGAGAGAAGCATCTCCTCGGGGCCGGGGCCTCCGCAGAGGGAGGGCGCCTTTCCCCCTCACTCCGCATACCAGTAAGGAATGGGGATGCGAGGCTGGCTTGGGAGAGAGGCCCTGTGGGCTTTGCACCTGAGCTTGCATGCCGAGACCCAGAAGCGAGGGAGGAGCGTAAATGGAGCCTCGACCGGAGTTCGGGCCCAGTGAGGGGTGCGGGACTGGGCGCAGCCCCCTTGCCATCAGCCAAGGGCAGGGCGAGAGCCCGTCTGGGGCCCCTCTGGCCGCTGCCTTCTGCAGCGGCGTTTTGGCCGTCTTCTGGGCTTGTCTCGCCTCTCCTCCCCTTTGTTCTCGCCTCTTCCGCTTTCGTCCGGGTTTGAATCTTTCGGGTGAGGCCTTCTGGGGCTTCCTCTCTCAGTGGGCTGTTTTCCAGCTCCGTCCTGTGTGCCAGGAGCGGGGTGAGAGGCTGCCCGGCTCGTCGCTGTGTGTGGCAAAGCAGATGCGCCCGCCCGCCTGCGCTGCATGTGGCGGGACGCACTGGAGCAGAGAGGACGGCTCTGTGTTATAATTACTGCGTTTCTGTAACTTGCTTGACCGCTGCGGTTCAGAAAGAGGCTTGCATGGGGGGGGGGTGATTTTTGCAACCATCTGTAGCCAATCCCAGAGATAACTTTACTGCTGAAGCGCCCCCCTTCCTCCGCCGGGAATGGGGACCAGTGGCTCTCCGCTGGCAGGCGCCAGCCTCCACACTGCTGGCCAGCGAGCTGGGGCTTGTGGCCGGCCAGGCCCCCACCTCGCCGTTGGCTGTCACCGTGGGGTGCTGTTACGTCGCCGGGCAAAGTCTCTCCTTGCGGTTCCCTGGCGCTGGGCCTTGGAGAGGTCCCTTCTGTTTCGGGCATCTGCAGCGACTGGGAGAGCTCCACGGCTCATCGCTTGCTTTCTCCAAGGCTGCTGGGGCCGCCTTTGCTCCCCAGACTTTGCAAAGGAGGAGTGGGGTGGATGTGGGGCGCCAGTGCAGGAGGATGGCACGCCGGCCCTTTGGGGCTCCGGCGGTGTGCGAGATCCTTGTGCCTTGGAAGCAGTGCTGAGGAGGAAACAGGCATGGAGCGGGTCGGAAGGGGCCTCCTGGGCCATCTAGGCTGATCCCCGGCTCCAGCCGGCGGTCAGTCCTGACCCACAAATGCAAAACCTGGGCATGGACTGTGGGTCTTTGGCACACGCTTCCCTTGCCAAAGGGCCACTGCCAAAGCCGAAGGATCGGGAGCAGCTAGGGAGTGGGGAATGGTAGAGGGCTGCCCAGGCGGGCAGGGAACCTGCTCCCCGCGCGACCTTGGCTGACCTTCCCGCCATCGCCGTGCCCTTGAGTCACTGGCCTGCACTCCCTCGCACGGCTGGCGCACTGACTGGGCGGAGGGGAAATGGAGGCAAGATACGCGTTATCTTCCGCAGGCAGCCTCTCCTTTTGTGCTCCCCAACCTGCCCCACCTGAAACTTGAATGTGGCAGGTTAATGATTAAAGCAGCTCTGCTCTAGCCGGTTGGCCAGATGCTTAGGTGCCTCTTGGGGGGGGGGGTGCAAATGCCAATCCTCCATAAAGTGGTTTCTATAATGCTTGTAGATCTCCAGGATACCTTGCAGCCTCCTCCCCTACCCCACTCTTAACCCTACCTGACAGGAACCCTGCAAATTCGGTGAGCTTTCCCCAGGCCAGGGGGCATCTGCACAGCATGTCGCTTTGGCCAGGTGGGAGCAGAGGTGAGGTGCCCTTGGAAGGACCAAGATGTGAGTGAGTGAGTGAGTGAGTGAGTGAACTCTTGGCGACATTCCCTCCAGGGTTGCTTTAACGCAAGGTGGGGGTGAAGGAAATATATTGGAACAGGGCTTGTTAGAACTCTCTTGAAAGGAGGAAGCTGGGTTACAGGTTCCGATTCACAGGCTGCTAAGTGCAGCTCACGGGACTACTCCGTTCTGTCAACTTTACCTGCTTCCCTGGGTGGCTGCGAAGATCAGGGGGAGGCCAAACCATGAATGCTGCCCGAGCTTCCTGGAGGAAGTGTGCAGAATGCGGATGAACTTTAAGAACAGAGCAGGTGTTCTTCCAAAGCTCTTCAACCACGGGGCTTGGTCTCTTGTTTTTTTCCTGCAGTGACTGCAATACTCCCAAGAGGAAGAAGAAGCTGGGCATGGACTTCAGAAAGGACTGGTCTTCGCAGGATTCCCTGTCCTCCGAGTCTTCGCAGGATTCCCTGTCCTCCGAGTCTTCGCAGGATTCCCTGTTCTCCGAGTCTTCGCAGGATTCCATGTCCTCCGAGTCCGCAGATTCAGGTCAGCAGTCGGCAGTACAGCATTCCGTGCAGCAGTGGGCCACAGGATCCCTCGGGCAGGATGCGTGCAAGACCTCCGCCCCCCCCCCCCGCCCCACGTTCCTCTGCAGCTGGGGTGAGCAGCACGCTGCCCCTGCTAACGGAGGCAGCGCACGGCCAGGAGCTGCGGATTGCGCCCCCATCCCTGGCAGCGTCAGCCTTTTGCTCCCTGCCACCCCCCAGATGTTTTGGACTGCAACTCCCACCACCCCCAGCCATTGGTGCCGCAGGCTGTCGTAGACCAGGCATCAGGAGAGCTGGTGGGTGAGTTCTTTGAAACAGCAAGACCATGCATCGGGCATCCTTCCTCTCCGGGGGTGGGGAAGAGGTGGGGAGAATATTCTTTCGATTGTTTGGGGAAACTGCCACTAATTCCCCCACCGCCGGGTTTATTTTCCTGGAGAAGAGTCCCTGAAGGGGTGACTCTCCACAGAACGTTGATCCCGGGTAAAGGTGGCGAGGCGGCAGCAGCCCTCCTGGCCTTGATGCCCAGCCGCAGCCTGAGGCCTGTCCTTGAGCCACAAAGGGTCAGTGCCAGGACGGGCCCTGGGCAGCCCAGACCAGCCAGAGGGTTCCCCTTAAGCCGGACATCAGAGGCCGCTTATCCAGGGAGCAACTTCCTCCAGGCCCAGCTCAGCCTTGGAGGGCTTTGCATTTTCCAGCCGTAGTGCAGAGGCGACTGTTCCAGCGATGTGGCAGCGCCCACGGCATATCCCTCACTGGGTCCAGTTGTGGGGGCTTCTTTCATGCCAGTGGGTGGGGGGATGCCGTGGGAGGCAGAGAGCAGAAAGGACTGAAAGCTGTGGATAAGGAGGACCACCCCCCCCAGCATCTCTCCGTTGCCTCCACAGGTGTGGGCCCCAATTCCCCTGTCGAGTCGGACGCTGAGATGTTTGAATACATGTAAGTAGGACCTCTGTATGTGTGATCTGGGGAAGGGGGCTCCTTTTGACCCCCTCACAAAAAGATGAGGAATCCTGGGGACCGCAGCCTTGTGATGGAAGGGCCAGGTGCCTCTGGAGCAGGGCTCTCGTCCTCCGTGGCCGCAGTGCCGGCCGAGCAACAGAACGATCCCGTGCCTCCGGGCTGCAAATTCGGCACCGGCGCAGACCGTGCGAGCTGGCCTGCTTCTGTGCTTGCTGGCTGGAGCACAGGGGGCTCTCCCACGATCTCCAGTGATCCCAGGGCGCTGCTTGGGGCCCAGCCGGCATTTCATGCGCTCTTTCAGCAGCGTCCCACTAAATGGGGAGGCCAGCGTCCTCCGCGACTCCCGTGGGCCCCAAACCAGTTTTAAATGTGAAGAGCAAGCTTGTGGCCTCTTGAAGGGATTAAAACCTGAAAGGGCAGGTTCCTTCCTGGGGGTGTCTGTGCAGATGCCGCACGCACGCTGAGGGGGCAGGCGGGGCGGCTGTCCGGGGCTTGCGAGGAGAAGGGGAAACGCGCCGGGCGTTCTCAGGATGCGTTCTCCAACTCACTTAATCCGTTTACTGCGCGCGGCTTAACAGCGCCTCTGTTCTCTTATCAAAGGTGTTTAAGTGCCAGGATTTGGGCTTTCTGAAATGCCGGCATTCTATGGACATTTGCATCAGAGGAACTAATCTCTCCCCTAGTAAATTCTTCCTGTTCTCTCAAGCTTTCTGGGGAGAAACATAACTTGACCCGAGTGCAGCTCCGCTCCCCTTCAGTATTAGCAAAGCCATTCCAAGGCAGGGAGGTGACGTTGTGTGCCTGAGACGGCAACTCACAGGAACCTTCCTGAACCAGACGCTCTCCAAGCACGCCGAACTACAACTTCCATCATCCCCAGCTAGCCTGGGGATAATGGGAGTTGGAGCCCCACACATCTGAACAGTGGCAGGTTGAGGGAGGTAGATGTAGCTGTGGGAAAACTTATCTCTCATGCCACCTACAGCAGTATGAGAAAAGTTAGAAAATTTCAATTTCTGTTTCCATTTTGTGGCCAGGAGCCGGAGAAGAATTACAAGGCTCCCCTCCCATGAACAGTTTCATCTTTACCGGAAGGCTGGAGGTTTTGGGTGTGCCTCTTCTCATGGGTATTTCAGTAGCTGAAAAACAAATTATTTTGCCCAGCAAAATACATCGCCGTAGCAAGTTGCGCATTGATGAATCCACAGACTGCCTTGTTTAACTGTGGGTTGTTTAACCCATGATTAACCCATGGGTTTGCACATTGCGTGGAAAACTCCCGTTAGCCTGATCAGAAAATGGGGATTGGCTGTGGAATCTGCCTGGCACATGCCGTCGTTCAGTGCCAAGCCAGCCGATGTGCTGTGGCTGGAAGGACAGGATGCGCCGCCACCGCCATAACTTGTTCTGGACCATGGATTTTATCAGACATTTGCAAACGCATCAAAACTTGGCTCTGAATAATTGGGGAGGCCCACCCTGACCCTTCTCCAGACCCCTGAAGGCAAGCAAGCCGCTGGATTCTTCTCCCACTGAAATCCATGTCAGCACATCAGTGCTGTGTTTTTGCTGCTGAAGCACGAACTGGGAATTTGGTTTTTTTTAAATGTGCTAACCATACTTATAAAATCTGGCCATGAAGTACATTTTCCAAATAGTTTTTGAATCTTAAAACATACGTCCATTTATGCGTCTGTCGGATTCTTTTAAAGGCTCCCTTTGAAGGTCGTGCAATTAGAGAGGTTAAAAAAAAGATGGTGCTTGGATTTTTGCAAGTTGATTGCGTGTCGCTGGGGCAAGGAAGCCGCTGCCTTGCACCTGCCTTGGGTGCTTTTCACCCCGGCAGCTGTGTGGCTGGTGAATGCGTAACCAGAGCAGATGGCTGCCGGGGCGGGGGGGGGGGGGGGGGGGGGGGAGGCCTTTTGAGCAGGGAGTGTCGCCTGAATTCCTGAGCTCCCCTCCGGGCCCCCGAGAGACTCCTCCAACCGTTCCGCTCAAAGGCACAGCATTCCTCAGGAGGGGCCAAAGCGGCTTCTTCTGGCACAAGGGTTCTTTTTTGTACGTGTCCGACAAGCTTCGGATGGACATCTTTCCTTGCTCTCAATGTTACCGTTAGGGATTTGAAGGCCTCGGAGGCACGCTTAAAAAGGGGAAGGTGTGGGAACACACAAAATTAAGGGAAACCTTCTCGCCTGTGTTTTTCCAGGAATATCTTCTTGCAAAACTTGTGAGGAAAAGCCATTCCCCTCCCTGAATCTTTCCGATTCGTTTCCTCAGGCCTTCACATCTCCAGTTAGGTCCTGCCGGGTCCGCTTCCAAAGAGGCTTTTGCACTCGAGTGCAGAGCCTGGATGGCACACAAGCGTACACTGCTTTGACGGGCGCGTTGTGTATCAGTCACAGCAGTGCGAGTGAGAAGCCAAGCGGGTCTTTGCGGTCCATGTGCCGCGCTCGTGTTTGCACTTGTTAAAAGACTTTCAGTTAAAAGGGGTGAGAGTGGATGGGTATTTATTTATATTGTGATTTATAGCCTGCCTTTTTCCTACAAAGGGCTCTAGGCAGCTTACATCATTCTCCTCCATCTTATCCCCACAACAACAACCCTGTGAGGTAGGCTGGGCTGAGAGTCTGTGACCGGCCCAGAGTCACCCAGTGGGCTCCGTGGCCGAGCAGGGACTAGAACCTGGATCGTCCGAGTCCCAGTCCCGTGCTCTTAACCACGACACCACACTGGCTTTCTCCACACTTATCCCCACAACAACAGCCCTGCGAAGTAGGCTGGGCTGAGAGTCTGTGACTGGCCCAAAGTCACCCAGTGGGCTCCATGGCTGAGCGGGGAGCAGAACCCGGATCGTCCGAGTCCCAGGCCCAGCCCTGAACCACGATGCTATGCTGGCTCTCTTTCCATTTCGGACACCGATGTGTGTGAGGGTTCCTTCCTTGGAGATGGGATGTGGGTTAAGGTGGACTGCAGTCCAGTTTCCTCTGACGCTTGTCTTGCTGGACCAGGCAACGGACTGAGCTGCTTCTCCAGTTTTTAATTTTTATTTCTCTCCCTGCCCCAAAAAGTTGCTTTACAGATCCAGTGAGAATGGCTAAAAACAACCCATTAAAATGCAATTAAAACATAGTAGTTAAAGAAAAGTTTTTAAGGCAGCAGTGAATGCCCCAAACCTAGCAGCTGAAGGCTGCCTAGAAGAGAGCGGTTTTCGCCTGGCACCCTGGTCTCTCCTGGGGAGGGGTCCCGTGGCTTTGGGGCAGCTCCCCTGTGCTGGGTTGCTGTCGAAGGAGAAGCTGTCAGAGTCCGCATGACGGTTTCTTCCAGTACGTGGGCTTGGGCCTCCGAGGGTTTGTCTGGCCAGGACTTCATGGCCCCGTGATTGTCTGAGCACATACAAGGCCGGAGACACTCCAGCGACGGCCTCCGAGGACGGTTCGGAATGCGGTGCGGCAAACTCGATCCGCAGGTGCTCTTCCTGAACCTGCAAACGAGAGACCGGGCTTTATTTCTCCGGCAAATACGACTTGAGTGGCTGCGGAGTGATGCCTCTCCCGACTGTGTGTGTGGGGTTTGGGTGGGGGGGGGTGAAGTCAGACATGTGCTGCGCTGGCAGATGGCATCGGAGTGGCCCCATTTCCCCCTCCCAGTTTGCACGCAGGCGCACTTGGCACGTGGCAGCCGTTGCCGGGCGATGCCCTCGGAGGTCCAGCCTGGGCTCCCGAGGCCTCTGACGCTCCTCTACCCATCCCTGGCTCCCCCCCTCCAATTCTCCCCCCTTGCGGCTTAGTGCTCCCCGAAGCCAAGCCTGCTGGGCTGGTGGACCCCCCTCCCGCCAAGCCTCAGCCGTTGCTCCTGTTTGAGGCCTCCGGAGGCCCCCTGCAGCGGGGGCTGTGCGGATGAACTGGAGGGACGCACGGAGAGGCCCAGTGGGGGCTGGCGGGGGGGGGGGGAGCTTGGCCCTGCCTGCGTGACAGAAGGGATTTGGACAGTTCTAGTTGTTAAAATGCAGTTTTAAAAATTGTTAAGGAACTTTGGGGTCTTTTGCTGCTGTTTCGTTCTAGACCATGTTTAAGAGCCGCTGTTCACCCAGAAAGCGTCAGCTGTTGGGTGGTACAGACATAAAATTAGCGACCAGCAGCACCGCTGCAGCCTGCTCCGGCTGGGGACGGGGGGCTGGGCATGGCTAAGGGGTACCCCAGGAGTTAGCAGCAGAGCGTGTGCCCGCAGGGGCGGTGGGTGGGTGGTCAGCCCGGCGTCTCTGGGCAGGGCCAGCAAAGTGCCTGCCAGAAACTCCTGCGAGCCGTGTCTGCTGCTGCCGGTCTGTGCTGGCAGTACTGGGCAACGTGGGCCACTGGGCTGTGACTAATGAGTCTGACCCACCTGCCTGGCGCCTCTGGCTTCAAAGCAAAGGGGGCTGCTCAAGTTGCAGGGGGCCGTGCAGCCACCCTGGTCCAGCTCCCTCCTGCGTGCAAAGCCCCCGATGCCGCCCAGCCTGGACGTCGCGGCCTTGGGCAAGGGGGGTGCCGTTTCCCTGCCCCGGAAGCCAGTTCCTTCCTCATACTGCTAAAGTGGGGCGCTCCACCGTATCTTGCAGTTTGGCTCACTTGCTCGAGCAGTTGCTCTTTCATGCTCCTTCCTCTGGAGCACCTGCTCTGGAGTCCTGTCCCGGCAGAGCCTTGTTCGGGACGCGTCCGTCTTGCGTGCCGACCGCCACCCCCTTGGGCAGAGCTCCTACGTTTCCTCATCGCTTCTCTTCGTCCCACAGGTTTGAGAAGGATGCGGTGGAGTTGCGCAGAGTCTCCCGCCGGTAAGTGCAGCGCTGGGCTTGGCTCTCTCTCCTTCTGGCTTGGGGCAGAGCAGAGCTTCGCCCGCTGAAGCCGCCCACTGCACATGGGCATCTCCGGGCTGCCGGGCTGGAGAAAACGGCGGCCTGCAGCTGGGGCACGCCGCTGCTGCCGGCCCGCGTTGGCGACACTGAGCCGGGCCGGCCGCCAGCCCGCTGCCATTCCTGCGCTGCTTCCCCACTGGGGCTCGGCCTCGTTGGAGCCCAAGGGCCAAGTGCCGTTTGTGCGGAGCCCTTAAGGCTCATTCCGGGGCTGGGAGCCAAGGGCCAGCGGGCAGGGCCAGCACAGCGGCATGCTAAGCGTGGGCGTCTTTGGGCGGGCACCTGAGCCTGGGGGGCATTCCACCTTTTGGCAAAGGGGTGGGGGGAAGAAAAGGGGGGTTGCTGTGCATTTCCCCCCAGAAACCAGGAAATCAAATGGTGGTTATAGCTCAAGGAAAGGCTCGGCAGACGGTGGACGGGCCATTTTCCAAGGCTCGGCTAGCCGTAACAGACGCCTTGGGCCTCGGCGCCAACGCAGCACCCTCTTTTACTCATCGCTGGCACAAACTCCTGCACAGCCTTGGGGCCTGTTTGCATCCTCCCGAGACTCCCTCCCTTTTCTGTTCCTGCAAAACTGATCTTCCCCACCCCTATGTCTTCAGTAAGAAGCACAAATTAATTACCCCGCAGCTCCAAAAACGGAAATACTTGTGTGACTATCCTACAGTTTTTTGGAGCTGAAGTGGTCGATATATTCTCTCCCCACAAGGCGCCCGCCCCACCTCCTGGCCCGGGCAGCAGGCTTGCTGCAGGAGCCTGTCGCTCCCCCCGCCCTGCATTTCCCCGAAGTCTCGCCTGGCCAGGTGCAGTGCTGGCAGAGCGGCTCTTTGGGGGCCCCCTTTCCCCCCAAGTCTCACTGTGGAGGCAGGAAGGCTTGCTTGCTTCCTGCTGGCTGGGCGCAGGTGCTCGGGCGCCCATTGGCACACGGAGCAGGATCCGGGGCTGAGCTTGTCCTGGGCTGGGCTGGGCTGCCCCGAGGGGCCGGGGAAGGCCGCCTGCTTGTGACCTTCCTCCTGGGAGAAAACTCTGCTCTTGGAAGGAGGATGGCCCCCCTTCTTCTCTTCTTTCTTCCGGCATTGTGGGAAAGGGTGATGACGGGAGGGCGAGTGCTGGAACGCACACCCTTTCCTGAATTGACACTGTCCTGGGGCCACATATGTGCCGCCTGAATGCACAGAAGGACCTGTGGGCGAGGCTGTGGCCGGAGGGGCTGACGGATGTTCTGTCCTTCCCTCTGCAGTGAGTCTTTTCCCTTCCGAAGGATCCAGTCCTTGCCGGTAAGTTTGCCACCTGGTTTTGCCTGAAAGCTGCCCCATCGTGGTGATGGGAGCGGGGGGGGCCGGCTCACTCGGTCCCCCGTGCGGACTCCGGGAAGGATGGGCTGTCGGACGGGAGCTGCCTCGGGGCTCGCCTCGTTGCGCTTAGCGCCTGGCTGCCCCCGCCGAGCCGGGTGTGGGGAAGGCTTGCTCCGTCCTCGGTAGCACTCGGGGTGTCTCCCGAGCAAGCGAGTCTTTGTGCCAAGTCGCGCCAGGCGGCCTGCGCGCCACCCCCTCTTTGATCACGGACCTGCATCGTGTGAAGAAATGCGGGAATGCCACCCCCCGTTGGGCGTGCTTTGAAGCGCCAAGCCCAGCCGCGGGCCGCTCGTGTGCTGAAACGGCTCCCGCTGGCCCTCGCCCCTCTGGAAAGTGCTGAGGATGATGGGAGTTGGATGCCGCAGCCGGGCTAGCCTCTCAGGCCAGCGGGGCGCAGCTGTTCCGGCCTGTGACCCACCAGGAGAAATGGCGCTTCCTTTTGCAGGACAGCCTCCTGAGCGCCAGTCCCATGCTGAGGACCATTTCGAATTCCAGGGAATTCAATAGCCCCACGGCCTTCGAGAGGGACTCGGGGCTCAAAGACAAAGCGGAGAAAGTAAGCCGGGAGGAGGACAGGGCAGGCCCCTCTCTCGCCTCCCCTTGGGACCCGCCGTGGGCACGGCGCTCGCCACACCCTGGGGAAGTTGCCACGGGCCCCGCTTGGTGTCTCAACAGGAGGGGGCCGTCTTCAAGAAGCCACTGCGCCCGACGAGCCGGCCGCACTTCTCCCCATGTGGTCCCGGGGAGAAGGACCCCTTCGCACAAAGACCCAGCTCTGCTCCAGACCTCGTGGTGAGTGCGCTGGTGGTGCGAGGCAGCGGTGCTCGCGCATGTGCGCGGGCACGTGCGCCCTGGTGAACTGGCATGTTGGCCTGCGCTTACCGTGTTGTGAAGACAACAAAGTTGTCTTTGCCGGCCCCGTGCGAGGAAACCCACAGCTGGGCAGTGCTTTTCGGAGAGTCGGACTGAGCTATCAAAAGGTTGCGCGAGCTTCTGAGTTCGGACTGGGCAGCGCAAAATGTGGCAGCTTGTGGGAGGAAAAATGTGCGAAGGTTAGCGGGGGTGTCGCGGCCGCGAGGGCTGCGGTTCTGCCTCGATGGGGCCGCAGACGGAGTGAAGCAGGGCGCGAGCCGGCCCCTGGCCTTCCCTCGGGGGCCTGGGGAATTTCCGGAGTCCAAGCGGAGCCACCTTTGGCGCTCGCAGCTGCAGCCCTGCCGGCCTTCGCCCCGTGTGGGGAGAACTGCCCTTGCCCGTCTCTTCTCAGGCAGAACGTGGCCTCGGGGGGCAGGAGGGGCGTGCAGTGGGGAGGGGGCGGCGGCTGCAGAGGTGCACCCAGCCTTTCCCCCCCTGGCCCTGCCGGCTGGGAATGGCCCAGAGCGGGCTCAGCGCGAGAGTCCAGCTGGAGCCCAGTGGGGCGGTCCTTCCAAGCGGCTTGCAGGGAGCAGGCAGGGGTGCTGCACTGGTTCTCTGGGATGGAGGGAGAGCGGGCCTGGATGGCCTCGCCAGCCCGGGGGACCTTCTCCTCCGCAGCCCCCGGCCACTTCCAGGGTTGGCAGCAGATCGGCCTGGGCCACGTGACGGGATGGCCTGCGGGTTCGAGGAGTGCACGGGCTGCCAGGGCCCAGTGGGGGAGAGCAGATCCGCCCTGCCCGCCACTGGCACGGCCACCCAGCGACCCACGGCTGGCTCCATGGCAGCTGGCTCAGCACGACGTGCAAACCCAAGCGGCTGGGTTGTTCAGGGGCTCAGCAACCCGGCGGTCAACCCCTGGAAGCCGCGGCCCGACGCACGCTTGGGGCCCGGTCGCAGACGGCTGTTGTAGCTGCGAGGAGGAGCAGCTGGGATGGAAAGCGCTGACGGCTGCTTGCTCCTCCCCTTCAGTGCGGCAGCCCTGAAAAGGAGAACATGGGCCCCGACTCCAGAAGCCTCCTGTGCCCCCGCCGCTGTTCTTTCACCTCTGTGGCTGACGGAGACGACGACGGATTCATGGAAATCCTCGATGAAGAGAAGCTGAACGTAAGGGTGGCCGGCGTCTCTGGCCGCAGGCCCAGGCGGACTCCTTCGGGCGTGGGACTCAGGAGGGCGCGTGGCCACAGAGCTGGGCTGGCGTTGCAGCTGAATGCGCTCCGTTCATTCTGCGGGCAGCGCGCGTCTCCTCGGCCCTTCTCTTTCTTTGTGTGGGACTTGCTGGTTTGGGGATTCTGTGGCTGCGAACACAGAAAGCGACAGCTCCTCTCCTCGCTGCCAGTCAAAAGCAAGAGGAAGCCCATGTACAGCTGCCGGCTGTGTCTCCCTTGGCCATCCAGGTGGGGAAGGAGTTAGGGTCGGGCTGGGGGTTGGTCCCTGCCCAGTCCTCCGGGGCTTTTTCAGGCCTCAGCTCTGCCTCGCCTTCAAGGCTGGCTCCGTCTCGAAGCACTTGGCTTCAGCCTGCGGTCGCTGTTGCTGTGGGAACACGTGCGCCCGCTTTCCTCGCTTCCCGTCTTGGCCCCCGTCTCACGTTAGCCAGCATCCTTCCTGGGGCCGGGACCTGGCTTCTTGCTCGCTGCTCCACAGAGCACCTCCGGTGTTGATGGTCCTCTGTGGACAGCAGCAAACATTCGATACATCTGCGAGTCCTGGTTTTCCCTGAAGAGGAAGATGGGGCAGGTCCATAAGCTGAACACCAACAAAAGCCCTTGTGGTACAGGATGAGCTGATGTTCTCATTTGCGGCTTTGGAGGAAGCGGGGATTTTTTAATGGGAAAATCAAGAACAGGGGATCTAGGACTTCACCACCAGCAGGCGACCACACATCCAGATTGGACTTGCAAAGGCACCTGTCCCTTCTCAGCACTCTTGGCTCTGGTTGGTGGGTGTGGCGAGTCCAGGAGGATGAGGTGTTGGCCTCGGGGCCCTCGTTCTGTCACCTCGTCCCCTTTTTGGCAGAGGCAAAACGTTAAGCTGCAGCTTGAGCAGCTGGCCCTGTTTTGTTGCTCTGGAGACTTTAGAAACCCCAGGTGGGCCGTGGGTCCTTTTAAACCATTTGCAAGATCCCTGAATTCCCTGGGGCTCCGCACTCCACGTCACGTGCCCCGTGCCCGTGGAGCGCTCGAGGGAGCTCTAGGCAGAACAGCAAGTCCCGGGTGGGGGTAGAGGCGGCCCACCTGCCGACCATGATCTGTGGTGGCAGCCGCGGCCTCGTTGCCTCGTGCGATGGGCACAGACTCAGCCAGCTGCCCGCAGAAGTGTTGGGCGACCGACCCCTCAGCTTCTCTGGGCCTCCTCGAGGATCTGCCTTGAGGTCCCATTCTGGTCCCGAGGTTGTCCTGCTGCTGGAGGAAAGGCTGATGCAGCGAACGCGGCGCCAGCAGTTCTCTTCCCATCTCAGCGGCGAGGCACGCTGCAACGGGGAGCTGCAGCACACCACTGCCTCGCGCACTCGCGTGGATTCCCGTGGAGGTGCTTCCCCTTCTCGGCCTTCCTTGCCTGGTGGTGGGACCTCAGGAGAGAAGCAGCCCTGTGGCTGGGGGAGCGGGGCCTGCTGAGCCCAGCCGTGGCGACCAGCTCCCACCAAATGACGGGGCCTGCTTCCCTCTTTCAGGCTGACGCGGACGTCCCCTTGAGCATGGAGAACTTGCTGATGGCTCCTCTGGTGAGAAAGGAAGACGAATCTCATCTGGTATTTCTTCTTCTTATTATTGTTCTGTTGTTGTCGTTAACGATATCCTCCTTATTGCCTAAACACACCCTCCTGGCAGCTAACAGTAAAATCCGGATTAAAAGCAGAATGTTAATGGAAAACATAAATACATTAAAAGCGGGGTGCCCTAGTGGGGGACCCTGGTCAACTTCATGCAGCATTCAGAAACAAGTACGCCTAAACCTGTTTGTGGGAATGTGAACACCCGGGTGCCCTTCCTGCTGCGCCCTCGGACGGGATGTTTCCCACCCAGCACCTCTCAAACCTCGCTTCGCACTTGATTTTTGTGAGGGCTGGTTGGGCCAAGGCAGCGACGCAGAAAGGAGCAGTGCTGCAGGGGGAAAGGGAGGTAAATTGGTCCCATTTGCACCTTCCTGTATTCTTACAGCAACATTACAATCCTCTGCCCACTTACCTGGGAGTAAACCCCACAAGCTGCAGTGCGCTTATTTCCGAGCCGGCATGTTCAGGATCACGCTGTTAACGTCAAAATCTCATGGGTGCTGCATGTAAGAAAGACCCTGGATGGGGTTTTTAAAGACATTCCCCCTGTCAACAGACAGCAGCACAAGCACGGCCTGTGCGTGACATTAAAAAGTGCACAGCCTGCTTCTAAGAATGGAGCAGGTCAAATAATTCCAGGGATATCTGGCAAGGTGAGAAGCTCGATTTGAGACAGTGATCTAAATCAGCATTCTGCAGCCGAGTGCCCGCGTTCAGCATCTTGAGGCAGGTCGGCCTGGGGCAGCGGAGGCCTGCCCTGGACGGCCCCTTCCAGTTTCAAAGTTGTGGCCTTAACAACCTGGAAATGCTGTGGATGCTTTTGGCGGTGCTGCCAACCGTGTTCATTAGGGTGGAAACATCTGGGATGGTTTTGGACTCGAGGCATTTGAAGGAGCAGTTCAGCGCAGGATCCGCTGTTGCTTGCGTGCCAGTGGGACTTCCTAGGAGCACAAGAAATGAGCTAAAAAGCTCACCTCCAGAAGCAGTAGGTCCGTGACATTCGCAGAAGACCCGCTTCATTCCGAAAGTTCTGGGAGGTGCTGGTGGATACGCTGCCCGCAGTATCCATCGCTTCCAGAGGCGCTCACCTGCAAGTCTGGCTGCATTCAGTGGGGACTGGGGACCTGCTGCGCGTGTCGGGAGTTGTGGCGTTGGTCTCCCGCCACGGGAAAGCGCTCCAGGTGCTTGGGGTGTCAAGTCTCCGAAGCTGTGCCCGCGTGGCCAGTGGGCAGGAATGCCGAAGCTGGAACCCTGGGAGATGGGCTTCTCCCCTTGCCCCAACAGACACGCCTGAGCAGGGTCGACCCAGTGTGGGTGGGGCAGTCCTCTGCCCCTCAGCCTGAGGGGGGGTGGCCAGGCAGCTTTGGGGCACGCGTGGCACAGAACCGAGTGAGCGCCTAGCAAGCTCTCCGGGAAGCAGCCCAGCCCCCATGAACCCCGAGAAGTTTCTGCATTTTTATTGTGTGTGATGATTCTATTCGTACCCGCTCTTGTATCCCCCTTGCACCCAATCCAAGAGGGGGGCCACCCTCCGTTCTTTTATTCTGACAACAGCATCGGGGAGGGGGTCTCGGCTGGGGGTCTGTGGCTGCCCCAAAACTGCCCAGAGAGCTTCAGGGCTGGGGGGAGTTGAACCGGGGCCTCCCCCGTCCCAGCACCCCTGACTGCGAGGCTGTTCTCTCCGGAGGGGCCGCATCTTGTCTGCACAGCTGCCCTGAGCATGAGGGATCCCGTGCACCGTTCTGTGGTTGGCAGAGGGTGGAAGCCGGCGGGGGAGAGGAGAGGACAGAGTCCCGGCCCCGAGACGTGCCGCCAGCCTTTGCCCTCTTGCTGAGCAAGCCGGAGCACGGGCTGCCTGGCTCCAGTCACGGGGAGGGGGTCGCTTGACCCCGTGCACCTCCGGTGCCCTGCCCTCCCGATGGGCTGGGAATGCTGGGCTTGGCCGGCCGGCTTGGCGGGGTGGCCGGGCACCAGGCAAAGCAAACTCGCTGGCACCGCACGGCGGCAGAGCTCTCTCGGGGCGGGCGGGCGGGCGGGCGGGGGGGGGGGGACCCGTCCCGGTTTTGAGCTCCGGAGCGGTCCTGCTGCACGATGGCGGGGGGATCGTCGGGCCGGGCAGGGCAACGCACCTGGCCACGCACTCGCACGGCCTTCTGCGCTTGGCTCCTGCTTCCTCACCTCCGGCCTCGTGTTTTCCCCTGGCAAAGTCCCAGTCCTCGGAGGGGTGACGGGCACCAAACCAGCCAGAAGGTGACGGTGCTGCTCTTCTCTTCTTTCTCATTCCCTGCCCCCTTCCCCCCCCGAGCAGACCCCCGTGGGCACAGGGAAATGCCGCCGCCTTTTCCGCTCGCCATCCCTGCCCAGCAGCGTGATCCGGCCCCTGCTGAAGCGGCTGGACCGGCCCCAGGACCGGGAGACGCCGGTGAAAACCAAGCGGCGGAAGAGTCTGACCGGCAGCACCATCGCCGAGAAGGAGGAGGAGCCGGTATGTTGGGGGGGGCTGCTGGGGCGAGGGGGGGCACCGCCGGCCCTTTCGGTGTGCCACGCACCCTTCTTTGGCATTGTGGGCCACACGCAGGGACCCTGATGGCCGCGTGTCTCTTGCGAAGCTGTACCGATTTGGGGGTCCTGTGTCCAGACGCTCCTTCGAGCTCCCTGTGTGCAAGGGGATTCTGGGAAGGCGACTGGAAGTGCCGTGCTGGGTCGGATCCGGGGCCCCTCTGGGCGGGTGTTCTGGCCAGCTCAGTAGCAGCCGGGCTGAGAGTCACCCAGAGATGCGTCCACCGTGGCTTCTCTGCTGGCCACGGAGATGGAGGGATTGCGTGAGGGTCCCCTCTGCCTGCTGTGCTCTGCAGCGGGCGTCTCCACGTAATTTTAGCTTTTCGTGGAACCTGCCCTGTGCTCTGCTTGTTTGAGGTTCCCAGGAGGTCGTCTTGGGTTAGGAGGGCTTCTCTGCATGCGTGGTCCTTGCTCTGGGCGGGGGGGGGGGCAGGCCCTGGCCGGACCACTGGCCCGGCACACACCTCCTCTCCTCTGGCCTCCGCTGCACCCTCCCCTTCCCTCGCCCACCGGGCGCATGGGCACTTCCGCTCGTTCCGGCACTGGCGGAGCAGGAAGGCAGCCAACCCGAGATGCGTTTGGGGGCCCCCGGCTGCAGAAGTTATGGGGGGAAGAAGTGGGCCTGGCGGGGGAGGCGGCAGAGTCCCGCGAGCGCATGAGGTCGGCTGGCAGGGGCTGCGTTGCCGCCTTGCCCCCCCCGCCCCCAATTTGGGGCTGAGCCATGAATCCCAGGGTTGCAGAAGTGTCCAGGGAAGACTCCCAGCCTGGCCGAAGGGGCCACTGGATGCTGCGGCTGGTCTGGGGGTCTCTGTCGGAGCCACGTGGCCCATCCTTAGGGGCTTCTCCTGCCTCTTCTAGAAGCCGCGGCTGGTTCGCTCCCGGTCCTGCTGCCCCAGTGAGATCGCGAACATCCTGGACAATGACCACAGGGAGCTGATCGGAGACTTCTCAAAGGTACCGGCTCGGCGGGGGGGCAGCACCTTTTTCCTCTCGCGGGGACCCCGGGTGGCCCCCACGGCCCCATTTTGTCCTCACAACCTTGCTGTGAGGCAGGTCAGGCCGAGGGAGGACGGGCCCACCGTCCCCCAGTGCGCTCATGGCTGCGTGGGCGCCCGATCCCAGACCCTGGGGTCGCCAGGACAGCACTTGAACCACTAGGCCACCTGGCCTTAGTGAGGCAGTGGCCCCATGGGGGGGTCAGGGGGTGCCCGTCTTCCTGCGCTGGCTGGGGGACAGTCCCTGGCTCATTCTCTCCGCCTCGTGTCCTCCTAGGCTTACCTGCTGCAAACCGTGGAGGGGAAGCACCAGGATCTGAAGTACATCTCTCCGGAAATGGTAAGCGCGGCACCTGCGTCTGGAGCAGGTTGCCCCCCTGCCAGGCCCACAGCCTGGCAGGGGGCCTGGCAGCCCTTCCTGGAGTCCCCTGGGGCCCTCTGCCCCAGGCAGGCTCATCCCCCTCAGCTGGGACAGGCGGCCCCCTCGTGCCGGGGGCTTGGTGGGTGCGTGGGAGGACGTGGCCCCTCGGCAGTCCCCCGGGGCCCGCCCTGCATCGGGGGCCCGCCTTGCCAGCGTCTCCTCCGCCCACAGATGGTGGCCGTGCTGAGCGGGGAGTTCAGCAACATCATCGAAAACTGCGTGATCGTGGACTGCCGGTACCCGTACGAGTACGAAGGAGGGCACATCAAGGTCAGTCGACTGCAGGCCACCTCCCCCCCGGGGCTGGGGCTGCCCCCTCCCCAGCTTCAGGAGCTGCACGGCGCCTGGCACGTTTCCAGCCCCAGACGGTGCTCCTGGTGGCTGGAGCTCTGCCGGAGCAGCGGGAACCGTGCCCCGGGAGAAGCCTCCGTCCCCCATGGGCTGGGCACTGGGGGGGGGGTCCTCCGAGTCCTCTCCTGGGTGCCCCCCATGATGGGATGCTGGTTGCACAGTTTCCCCAGGGAAGCTCCCCAGCTTTCATTGTTCTCCTCCTCTTAGTGCCCAGCAAAGACTTTTCTTAGAAAAAAAAAAATCTGTAGGATTCTCCTCTCTCCTTTTTTCATCCGAACTGAAATGGGGCCCTTGCAAATTCATTTCCCAACTCAGAGGTGGCCAGTTGGAGAGGCCGCCTGGCCCGATTCCTTTCATGGAGCAAGACACTCCGTTCTGCTACAGCTTTTCTGGCATCCCCCAAGATGGTTTGGGAAAAGTTGAAACATGAAAACTGCGCTTATATAAAGCCTCATGAACACTGAGAGCATAGGAAGCGGTGGATTTAGTGGGACAGGGCAGGAGCAGCGGTGTCTTCTTTTTATGAAAACAAAACTTGTGAGTAGCTCCCCAAAGCCGAGGCTTGGAGCACATCATGTCCTTCCTTGCTGGGAAAACTGCTCTTGGGGGTCCATGTTAAATTTCTGCAATGCCCCAGCTTGTCTCGGGGCGCTCTCCTTTCCCACGAAAAGATCTGACGTTCCTGCTGATTCCTGATTTTTGTTGTTGTTGTTCGTGGGGGGAGTAAATCTCGCTCCCGTTTTTGGAGGGGGGAAAATGAGCCGAAGGCTTTTGATGTGGCTCTTGTTGGTAGCGCGCTTCCTTTCTTTTTCTTAACTTTGGCCTGCTGTCCTTGCTGTATATCAAAAGATGCCCGATAGACAAACAAACCATTTCAGCACAGAGATGCAGGAAATATTGGAGAAGGCTGCAAAAGCCTTGCCTGCGCTGCCCCCCAGCCCCCAGTCTCGATGCCCTTTGGGGCTTGGGTTTTACCCCCTCGCGGCTTGCCAGGCGTGGCATCCTTTGCCTTGCGAAATGCGGCGAGGCAAACAGTTCCTTCCGCACATCTCGCACGGAGCCGGAGAAGTCTGCTCTCCCGAGGCAGGGGCGGACCTGACCCACACCCCCTGGACGGATGTCCAATCTGCCCGGTCGAGCCGGAGCGAACGCGGAGCGTGCTTTGCCGCGGCTGAAGCACGAGGCTTCCCGGGGCAGCAGCCCTTCGTCCCATCGAGGCGGGTTGTGCCGGGCTCGGTCCAGCACCATATTGAGAGGCGCTTGGGGAATGTGCTGGTGGGGGTGCGGTGGGAAGGGAGACGATGACCCTCGGCCGTTTCGGGATGGAGCCGGCAACCGCTTCTCTCCCCCTCCAGGGTGCGGTTAACCTTCCTCTGGAGAAAGACGTGGAGGATTACCTGCTCAAAGAGCCGATCGTGCCCTTCGATGCCGCCAAGCGGGTGATCGTGGTCTTCCACTGCGAGTTCTCCTCTGAGAGGGGCCCCAGGATGTACGTAGCCCCCTGCCGGCCTCCCGTTGAGTCTGGGCTCCAGCTCCTGCTCATCCATCCTCCCTGGCGCCAAGCGCCCTCAAAGCCAGGGGGATCTTGGCGGGCGGCGAGCCAACCCCAGAACAGCCCCCCTTCTGTGCCGTTCCCGCTTTTGGGGCTGCCTGAGGATGGGGGGAGGGAAGGCCCGGTTCTGTGGATGCCCTTTTAACGTGGAGCCCGCTGGTCTCTCGCTCGAAGGTGCCGCTTTGTACGGGAAAAGGACCGGGCCTGCAACGACTACCCGTATCTTCACTATCCTGAACTGTACGTCTTGAAAGGGGGCTACAAAGAGTTCTTCCCGCAATATCGAGTGAGTTGACCAGGGCTCCTGGATACGTGCAAAACAGAGCAGCGCCCTGGAGCGCCGGGGGGGGGAGGGGCTGGTCAGGGGCCTCCCTGGGGGGCTGTGGACAGAACGTGCCCTGGCTTCAGCAGGGCTTGTGATGAAGGGCCCCAGGGTAGCCGGATAAGCCGGCTGGCTGGAAAGGGGGCAGGATGGGTCAGCTATGGGGTGGACCCACAGTTGGCCACAGAATCAGACTCGCGGAGCGCTCATCAAGGGCACCTTCTCGGACTGGGGTGCCGCAGGGTTCAGTCCCGGGCCCAGTGCTCTTCAGCATCTTTGTTAATGATCTGGATGAGGAAGTACGAGCAAAGAAAACCACATTTGCAGGCGATACCAAACTGGGTGGGATAGCTAATGCCCTGGAAGATGGAAAGAAGATTTGAGGTGATCCTGATAGGCTGGAGCACCGGGCTGAAAAGAACAGGATGGAATTCAGAAGGGACAAGTGCCAAGTCCTGAATCCGGGAAAAAGAGCCCGAATGAATTGCTGCGAGCTAGGGAGGAGGAGCGTGGAATCGCTGTAGGTCACTAGCTGAACAGGCGACAACAGGTGTGGGTGTGATGTGGCTGCAAAGGGGCAGGAGGAGCGCAGCTTCCGAACCGCAGGCGCTCCCGGTTCCCCTCCAGCAGCTCCGGTTAGGCCCATCTTGAGTCCAGTTCTGGGCACCAGGCTCCAAGAAGGATGCAGACCAGCTGGAAAGAACTCAGAGGAGAGCGGCACGGACGACCATGGGGCTGGAAACAGAGCCCTGTGAGGAGAGAGGGAGAGAAAGGACTGGACATATTTAGCCTTGAGAAAAGATGGGAGGGGAGAGAGGGTGGTATTTTTCAAATCCTCGAAAAGCTGTCACCCCGAGCGGGGCCTGGATCTCTTCATTGCCCCAGACGGCAGGACACAGAATCCGAGGCGCAAGTTCCAGGGAGCCCGATGCTGGCTGGAGAGCAGGGGGAGTGCGGCAAGGGAGCCCCTGACCCGGGGAGGTGGTGGGCTCTCCCGCCCTGGACAGCCCTCTGGCTTAGTGGGAGTCCTGCGCAGAGCGGGGTCGGCCCTTGGGCCCTGCCGTCCTGTGATCCTGGGCGAAAGAGGGAGGGGCAGAGGTCTGTCTCGCCAGCGAGAGGAGAGTCCCGTCCTGCCCAACAGGTGCAGCGCAGGTGAGGGATGCCAGGTGGGCGGGGAGAGCCGAAGTCCGAGGGGCGAACCTGGCCAGGCCGGGGTGCCTGCAGGGCAGGGTTAGCTTTGGGGGCCTCCCTGGGTTCGCGTTACGCGTGTGCAAAGCAGCGGTACACTAAAAGCCGGGGGACACGGCGGCAGGGTGCCCCTGGTCCCCCAGCAAGTGTGGTCTGCCCCCCGCCCGGCCCCCCTTGAGGAACGGCCCTCTGTGCCTTGCGGTGGCTTTTCCGTGCGGGCCCCGCTGTGCCCCACACTGGGGGGGCGGGTCCTTGATGCCGGCCGCTCTCTTCCTGCCCCGCCAGATGCACTGTGAGCCGCAGAACTATCGCCCGATGCACCACCAGGACTTCAAGGAGGACCTGCGCACCTTCCGTCTGAAGAGCCGCACCTGGGCCGGGGAGAGGAGCAAGCGAGAGCTCTACAGCCGCCTGCACCACTGCTGAGGGGCGGGTGCCGGGGGGGACACTGCCTGGAACCAGTGTGCGCGCGCCCCCCTCCCGGGCAGGATCCACGCAAGGCCTCCTCCTGCTCTTCCGCCTCCTCCCGGGGGACGTTGGCTTCGGGGGAGACGGCCAGCCGGTGCAGCCGCAGCGACTCATCCCGCAACGGCCCTCGCGCGTCCCTGGCTCCAGCTGGCTGGGACTCTGGGCGACACCGTGAATCCTCTGGGGCCGGGCTTCTCGCTGTGCCGGGTCTGGCCTCGGCCCTCTTCTGGGGTCGCAGAGGCTCCCGATCCACCTGGAAGCCTTCGCTGCAGGCCGCGCCCTCCCGGAGTAACCTGGATGAGCGTTTGGGGCCTTCCTACAACTCAGAAAATGGGGCAGCTAAAGGGAATGTCCACTGTAGCATCACGAGCGGCATCTTGCTGCGGGAGCCGGATGGTAGCCGTGTTGCGGGTGTGCGGGTGTGCGTGTGTGACTTGGCGTGCAGGCCTCCTGCCTCGCTGGAAGGAATGCGAGTGAAGATCCCGACGGGGGGAACCGGCTTCCAGCCTTAGGACCTGCCTGTTGGTTGCTTTTATGCTGGGATCTTCTTCCAGTGCGTTACGTCATGAACCTGAGGAGCGGAAGGCTCTTCCTGGAGATGGCTAAGAATGGGGACCGTTCACTGGGACGAGGCAAGAGGAGAGGCGCTGCTTAAAACTTGCGTACGGACAAGCTGGAGTCTCAGAAATTGGAGAAAAGACTGCGGAAATGGGGCTGCAGAGAAACACCTTTTTCAAATTGGGGGGATTATTTGGCAACCTGCGGTCCACCTCCCGTTCTTACATCAATGCGCTCTGACGTGGAACCAGATGGGAAAGAAATTGTTTTCCAGTGGATGCATATTTTTATTTATTTCGGGGGGTCTCCAAGCCTTAAAATTTGGAAGGCAGAAGTTGTAGCAGCAGAATGTACACTTTTTAAGGATGTTGGACACAGGGCCAGCGTCCTTCACTTCCGAACGTTTTGCCCGTCTGTCGAAGTCATTCCTAGGCGCCTGGGGACGCGTGGCGTTGCAGCCCCCAGTGGTCTGCCCCTCCTCCGAGCCAGACTGGCGTGCGAGCAAAGCCGGGCGGGATTCTGCAGGCCCCGTGCGTCGGGGTGGGACCGTGCCTCCCCCGGTGTTCCCAAGAGAGCCGCACACCAGGCTGTAGGCCAGTGGCACGAATCGGGGTTCAGCAGGCGCTTAGGGGGCAGGTCCCGCCATCGGCCCTCATTGGCTGTGCTGGCTCGGCCAGTGGGAAACCAGGATGCCCCTCTTGGCTTCGGAGGGCTGCGCTTCAGAGGCCCCCCACCTGAGCAGCTCCGTGCTCGCTGGGGGTTTGAAAGGGAGAGCAGGTGAGGCTGGGGGGCACGGCTGGCCCTGGGCCGGCCTCCCGACAGGAGAGCCCCCATCCGCACGGGCGCGTGGGAGGAATTTGCAAGACGGGATTAGCACATGACTAGAAATGCCCGAGCAGGAATATTGGGGGCGGCGGCCTCGCTTTCGGGGGTGGAGGGTGGCCGTCCTGTGTCCACGGGATCTCCCCGATGGTTCCCTCCTCTAGTAGAGCGAAGCATTCTGTGATGCGGCCGCCTCTGTGAGAGGGCAGAGCGAGGCACGAGCAGCCGTGCCTAGAATCGGGACCCGGCGTGCTCATTTCTGGCATGGCGAGGTCACCCCGGTGGGCGCCCTTCCCCTCTGCCTGCTGGAGAGAGAAGATGGCATCTCCCGGATCTCCTTGCAGCGATCCCAAACTTTCCCGTTCTGGAGGGCTGCTGCAGTTTTTTGGCTATGATCCGTAGGACGCGCTTGGAGGACCCGGGAGCTGCCCAGCACTGGCGAGTGCCTTTGTTGGCGAGCCCGAAGTGGCATATTGGCTTGGAGCACAAGGCGATTCGCCTTGGCTGCCCCCAGGTCATCTGTGGAAACGGCGGCGCAGGCTCTTCCCCGAGAAGGGAAGCGTGCGGTGTTTCCGCTGACCTGCAAGCAAAAGCCGTTTCCAGAACAGTATTCCTGAAGTTCTGTCTCCAGTGCAGGGCCTCCTCCCTGGGGGGGCACAACTGCAGCGCCCCCCCCCCCGGGCCAGGGTGCTGGCTCCCTCTCCGTGCCCCGGAAGCCTCCTGCTGCGGGTGGGTAGCTGTCCGCCCCCTAATGAGTCCTCCCGGGAGGCACTTATCCCCCCTCCCCAGGGGCCTTCGACTTCCCCCCAGGAGCATCTTCTGTGCATGGCCACTCGGCTCTCCCAGGTGCACCCCCAAACGAGGGGAGAGAAAGCACTTAAAACCCCACGTGCTCCCCCCCTTGGTTCCAAAAGGGGTCCTGGCCGTGCAGCCCCCTTGTCACCCCAGCCAGTCCCTCCCAGTGGCACCGGGGCGCGAGGGACACGGGCATGGCTGCTCCCCCAGGTCGCGATGGGGCTCAGACCTGCGCCTCTGAAAGAGCTGTGCAGGCGGGCCAGGGAGCCAAGCAGGCGGGCGCTTTGGGAGGGCCGGACGAGACGTTTTCTGGCGGGCTGGGATTGCAGGGATTGCAGGAAGCCGCTCCCATGCCCGCCTTTTGCCAGCTCTGGGATCAGGGAAGACAGAAGGATCCAGCACCATTGAGCGTATCAGACGGTTTTTAACAAAAACGCGAGCTTTTTAAAAAATGACTCTTACCAGCCTCCTCTGAAGCAGGTTTTTTTTGTATTGAGTGCCAATATGTAAAAAGATAGGGGCTTTTCTTTAAAGGAGGCCTTGGTTTGACTTGCATTTATTAAGAAACAAAGGACAACCCCCAACACAAGCCTAATTTACTAATTGCCCTTTCTGACTGCCTGTGAACTAAGTCTAGAGAGTGCCTTTTTGTTCGCACGGTTTATTTATACTGAGCCAAGAACCCCGGGCAGAAACGGAAGGGGGATACTTGAAAAATGCTTGACCTCAAATGTGGGGTCTTTCCTGCAGAGGAGGAGGAGACAACAACCTTGGGCAGCGGGCGTGGAGCAGGGGCAGCCTGAGGAAAGATGCCCGGTCCTTGGCTGGCTGGGGTGAGCGGGGAGGCCCCCTGGCCCGGGGTTTAAAGGTGTGCCCTCCGCTTTCAGCCCCTGCCCTGCTGTGCATGGAGGAGCCACTCGCTCCTCTTCGCAGCCTGGCGCCATCCCTTGGCGTTGCTGTGCGGGAATCCTGTGCGGGGACGCCGAAATGGGTTGGCCTCGGTGGAGCCGTTGCATTGGCACCCGTGTGGGTGTAGGGTCCCCCTCCAGTGTGATTCAGCCGGGAAGTGTGTGACCCAAGGCCAAACTGTGTGACAGGCGGGCAAGCGTGGGGCTCGCTCGTACATGCGTGCCGAGTCCCTCCTGGCTGCCTGGTGGCCTTTGGGGACACCCATCCCTCTCCTCGACCAAGATGAGCCAGAGTCCAGCCCTTCTCCTGGGCATGTTGCTCTGGGCTAGCTCTCCCAGCTCCTTCCTTGCATCCAAGGAAACTGGGCCGGAACACGGTGGCGCTGAGCTCCATCCTGTGCTGGCCGGGAAGGGGGCCTGCCGTCCACGCAGCGCCCCGGTGGAGGCGGCTGGCACCTCCATTGCCAAACGAGCCCCGCCTGAAGCCCAGCCTGGGGCAGACCTTTGCCCCATGGCAGGTCCCTTTGTAAGGCTCGGTCCCGCTGCGCTCGGACTCATTCCCTTTGGGGCAGGGGCAGGAGAGAAGGTTCCGGGTGTGGGGCAGCTGCCTGCTGCTGCCGGTGTCATCTCACTTGTGCAATTGTGCCGAAGAAACGTGCTTTTCCTCTGTGAATGTGATTTCAGTTGCTCAGACATCCTCTTGCCGTGTGTGATCAGGGAGCAAATAAACTGCTAGGTTGTGAGAACTCTGCATCTTGGTCTCTCTTCCGCTGCTCTCCGTGCCGGCGAAGGCAAACGGGAGGGAGGGTGGGGGTGCGCGGGACTCGGCGATGGCCCACAGCCCTGCTTCTGGCTTTTCTGGGACCCGCACGAGGTGCAGTCTGTGTGCCGTTCCCCCCGGCACTCTCGGGGCCCCCGGCACGGGTGAGCACTAGCAAGAGAGACTGCAGGCGTGTTGAGCGCCCCCCCCCCCCCCCATGGCTGCCACCCTCTCTCCAAGTTAGCCTCCAAAAGGAAAACCAACCCTTGGCACAGACGGGGGTTTCTTGGGCAGGCACGCCCCCCACCCAAAGTGGTAGGTCTCCCCTCGCCCTGGGTATGCACCCATCCTGTCGGCAGCTTTTTCATACGGAGCCCTAGTTTTCATCCTGTAAAAATAACACACGCTTTCATGAGGACTGGTAACGTGTAGGCCTGAGGTTTCAAGTGTTCTAGAGAGCAGCTCCAAATAAATGGAAGGTTTCCTGGCCCTCCTTTGACTGAGACTCAAAAGGCAGCTTGGGAAAGCCAGGAGCTGCTCTTCGCACCGTTTCCGTTTGGAGCTCAGAATTCCTGCTCGCCATGCATCCCTTTGTATGCTGCCCCCTACTCCACGTGGGGTCTCTGGGCAGCTTGCAACCCTTAAAATTGTTAGACATGAAGTCGCGTCCCACCCATTGTGACCCCATGGACAACACTCCTCCAGGCTCTCCTGTCCTCCACCATCCCTGGAGTCCACCCAAGCCCACACCCACCACCGCAGTGACCCCATCCAGCCACCTCATCCTCTGCCGCCCCCTCCTCCTCTGCCTTCCATCATTCCCAGCATCAGGCTCTTCTCCAGGGAGTCCTTCCTTCCCATTAGGTGGCCAAAGTATTTGAGTTTCATCTTCAGGATCTGGCCTTCTAAAGAGCAGTCAGGGTTGATCTCCTCTAGGACTGACCGGTTTGATCGCCTTGTGGTCCAAGGGACTCGCAGGAGTCTCCTCCAGCACCACAATTCAAAGGCCTCAATCCTCAGCCTTCCTTATGGTCCAGCTTTCACAGCCATACATTGCAACTGGGAAAACCATCGCCTTGACTGTACGCACTTTTGTCGGCAGGGTGATGTCTCTGCTTTTTAGTATGCTGTCTAGATTTGCCACAGCTTTCCTCCCCAGGAGCAAGCGTCTTTTAATTTAACCCTTAAAATTACAT